CCGGTTCTGAGGATTACAAAAAAACCCGGGTTTAATTTTTAAAACTCGGGTTTTTCGGGTTTTTTTTAATACTTTTGTTATTGTTATTTATTTAGTTTAAGCCACTTCGAATGCAATAATAAGTAAATGGAATAAAAAGACGCTTTGATAAATTGTTCTTTATTACGTAAAAAGTAGCTTCGTTGCTACGTTCCTACCAATAAAACAAGCCTTGCAAGTTAAAGTCGCGTTTCGCGCGTCCATCTCAAGACATGAATAGAGTGGCGGAGGATCTGGCTAGTGCGAGCGCTGGGTTCTACACCATCAACGCGTTCGGACACACAACATCTCGACAAATGGGTGAGGAGGCGATGGGGCCGCCTCAGCTACCGACTCGTGCAGATACTGTCCGGACATGGCTGTTTCGGCAGCTATTTGCACAAGGTAGTCGGGCGTGAGGAGGCACCAACCTGCCACAATTGCGACGCTGGCGTTGTTGATGACGCGCTCCACACCTTAAAGGATTGCCTAGCATGGGAGGTGGAAAGGAGGCCTCTACTGGGCGTGCTACAGGGCGAGGACGCTACTCTCGATAACATTGTGAGAGTAGCAGTTACAAGCTCGGACAGTGACGGCATGTGGGAAATCTTCCAGAGATTCTGTGAAGCCGTGATGCACCATAAGGAAGAGGCGGAGAGGGCCAGGGAGAAGGATCCTGCAGCCCACCCGCGTCGCCGTAGGAGACCACAGCGTCGCCATTGCACCGTGCAACCCTGTGTGTAATCCTGGGCATGCAGTTGCTCCAGCGGTGGAACAGGGGCTCATGCGTCCAAAAGAAGGGATGCTAACGCATCCCTGCAAGCATTGTACCCGGCCTCCCCAGCTCTATAAAACAGGATGAATTGGCCGATGTGAAAGGCCCTTGCTGTGCCAAGGTCCATTCCACATCATTCGTGGCCGTAGAGGACCGTAATATTAACGGTTGATCGCGTGGCTGGATGCGGACAAGGCTACGATGTTACCGTGTCCTGCCCCGGGCGATTGCTGGTGGCGCCGTGGGGTTTTAGTGGGTATGCACAACAGCGAGTCCCACATCACCCTTCCCCAGGTCAACCATGCCGCGGGAGGGTATGCGTAACGCATTTCCCCACGGGAAAAAAGAAAAAAAAAGACATGAATAGAGTGAAGTGTGGAGCAGTGGAGAGGGGAGGGTGTAGCGAAGCTCTTTGCGCGTTGTGCGGGGTGTTGCCGGTGATGATTTTTTTAAATAAAAGCTTTAATGGATTTAAAAACAGATATTGTATTACTGATGATGACTGGAGAAATAAAGATGAGATCCAAACATATTGGATGTTATTAAAACTGTCGTCGAGGCGCTATGTCGACGCGATGCAACATTACTTACAGCTGATGTTTCCCTAAAATTTGCATTGACAAAAATGGATGAAATGAAGACACCACTAAGTAACAAAATGGCAACTGCATTTGGCAAACGATACCCAAAAAAAAAACTAACTCAAGCAGCCACACTACAGTACCTACTTGACAAATCCGGGTAAATATTTTGAGAACATTCAAAATGAAGATAAAACTGTTTTTATCGGCCTACAGGACCAAGACCTACGAGAAATTGACATTCAGTTGTCTACTTTGTCAAATGAAGAGGAACTGAACAGACAGTTAAGTCAAGCTGTTGCTACTGATAAGAATGCTCCTGAAACTGGATCAGCTTGTCCATCAGACGATTTGCTTACCTACTACTGTGAGGGTAGAAATAGCACTCTTCGAGAATGGCGGTGCGCGACGGCGAGAGCGTTCCTCTCTTTTTTTCTAAAGTGGTCAGATGGTCAGAGGTTATGTCTTAAATAATGTGTCAAATGCATAACCACTTTTTACTTAGTATTTTAGGTAATTATATAAAGACCTAATTATTAAGAAAACGACTGCAATTTAAATTATAGTAGAATAGAAGACTAGAATTATTCGTTACTTAATAATTGTTAATGCGAAGAAGAGCTTTATTAATATTAAAATTAATTGTGATACTACAAAAATGTCTTTTGAAGATTTTATTTTTATTAGCTTATAAATACAATAAGTGAATGTTTCCAAAATAATTCATTTAATGTTAAAACTAATCTCTGCAAGTCTGTGATTTAAAAATACTAGATTACTTACTAAGTTTTAAGATATTCTGAAGAAAAAAATAAATCTTTATCACTTTTTTAAACATTAAAACTGTTTTTGTAATTTGTAAAGTACTGTTTCATTTATTTAAATTCTTCCTCATCCTTTATATTTTGTATTCATTCTAGGAAATCTATATATAAACGCAGATTAGTGAATTAAAAAAAAAATCAATAAAAAGACCGAAATGCTCGAAAAAACCGGGTACCCGGGTTTTGATTACTCTTAGACCCGAAAACCCGGGTTTTCAAAATTGGACCGAGTTTCGATGCCCTAATCCAGAGCGTGTTCACAAATAGTTTCTTGCTAAGTGGAGCGAATATTTCTGATAACATTAAACTTTACGACAATCGTTAAGTTCTAACTTTATCCGATACAATTACCGACCACATTTTACATATTTTTTACATTAGTGTTAAAATTCTTTAATAAAATAACGTCTTTGTCTATAATACATATATATATGTGTGTATAATATTTTGATAATATAAAATACACATAGATTCATAGTTAATTAATAATAAAACTAAATCTAGATTAAATTTTAATTAAAAGCTCATTAACTTAAGTAAAATAAATATTTTGAGCAGTGTTGGCCTAGTGGCTTCAGCGCGCACACCTACTCGCCTATTAGATTGACAAATGATCATGAAACAGATACAGAAATCTGAGGCCCAGACCTACAAAGGTTATAGCGCCAATTTTTATCTGGTATATAATATTTTGTACTTAATTAATACTGGGTAGTATTTGATTAACTTCTATGATTGGCCCCAGATCTGTCAGTTTTGTGGTCATTTTCTTCAATTTTTTGGTCTAAGCCCTGCCGATGTTTTCCTTTAGCATATGAGCTAGTGTTTATCGGGCATATAGAAAGAAAATTCCATTGGTTTCTAACTCAGGATTAAGAGGTACGCTCAAGCCTCTAACCTAACACTGCTCCATGGTAAACGAATGCTGTACCTATTTATTAATAGTATATATAGTCTGTGTTTAAATAGAAACAATATGAAAATTCTAGGCCAATCCGCGTTCCAATTTTAACCTAATACCGGAAACCAATAATTCAGTATAATGATAAACTTCCTTTTTGCTTTTCCCACAGACTTATTGTAATAGAAAGTCTGGCCGCAATTGGCGCAATTGATAGTGGAAAATTATATTTCTAACCCAAAACAAATCTATTAAACAAAACTTTTTAGTTTTCCAACCATAGATTTTGTTTCTGAGTTTAAGTGCGTAATTGCTGAAACAGTTTTAGATAATGTTATCAATTTGAGTATTAGGTAATGAAAAGATTTGAATTCTCGACAATAAAATCGTTACGTCAAATTACAAAATCAATTAAATACACATATATATAGTGTATGCTTACTGTCAGTGAGGTGGTTGAAAGCTGTGACATCATCGTTGAGCCGCTGCATGCGCTGGAGTTTCGTGTTGAGATCTCTGGTGTGTAGGAACAGGAATAAGGTGCATGAAACGGCCACAAGCGCTATGAGTTCACTCGTTCTGGAACAAACACATTCGCGGTTAAGCCCTTGATTTATAGCTTTATTGAAATTATAATCTTATTAAGTAACGTACCATAATCCTCAATTAATTATTGGTTACTAACAGTCATGTATTCTCATTGACATGAGACCTAAGCATTTTAATGTAATTCAGAAATTGTATTGGTACAATAATATTTATTTATTGCATTTTAGGAAGATTTACAGTATTTTAACAGAAGGTAAATTATGATTACAATAAAATAAAATCAGTACTAATTACAAATCTCCACCTATAGATAATCCATAAATACCTTAAGGAGATAGGAAGAATAAAATTAACATTTTTGAATTTATAAGACTGAATAAATTAAAGAAATAAAGTAAATAAGAAATTAAGTATGAAAAAGCAGAAGATCAAACATTTATAACTATTGTAATGGAATATATATAGTCACAGGATTCGAGTGACCCGAAAGGTTGTCTAAAGATTTAAAGTTAGATTAATAATCTTTTAATCTAATAAATAAAGACTGAAGGCATTGTTGAATCTGTAAATAGCTGTTCGGTTACAACAGATGGGTGGTGAAAAGTCCGTAAGAATAAAATCTTTTTTTTCCTTCGAGAACGATACGATTATAGCGGTCATTCAATTTTTCGATACCATTTTTATAGTACTAGCTGCTCCCGCGAACTTCGTTTCTCCGGAATGCAACTTTTTAGGATTTTCTGTGAATTTTTATGTACATATGTGAAAATAAACCTCAGAGTTCAAGTCATAAGTTTTAAATAACAAATAAAAAATAGGGGTTAATCGTAGAGGGATAAAATTAAGGATTGTATTTATTTTTGTATGCTGTATGATACAAAAAAACAAAGAATAAAACAGATATGCAAACAAAATTTCACGAAAATCGGTCGAGCCATTTCGCAGGAGTTTAATTACAAACACCGTGACACGAGAATTTAATATATTAAGTAACAGGTAGAAATTATTTATTAAGAGCCCAATTGGGCCCTAGTTTATTTTTGTCAATATATTTTATTATCATCATTACTTTGTTTCAGTATTGTGTTAAAATCCTGAAGGTATTGTAATTTGTATTACCTGCAAGTCTTCTTAAAAGTCGACTTAATGCATTTGGTCAGTAACCACAATTCTGGATCAGTCAAGGTAAGGGAGATCATAAGAGACTTAGATCAAAAAGCAGTAAAAAATTATAGGCTGTATTCAAATGTATTATTTAATAGACTAAGTACAATAATATTTAAAACCTCTCTCTGAGAAAGTTAATATCGACAATTAGATAAAATAGCTATTCATTACTCGATGCCATGTGTTTAATCAGTCTGCTCTTTACTTCTAAAATAATAATTCAAGCGTGATTTTTCACGTTTGATTATCCGTTCTTTGTCCTGATCATTCGCCCATTCTGATTGCGGTATATTTATTTTATTATGTTCAGGCACAGAACACCGTGCACTCAATAGTCTCACGGCCACTGGAGTCACTTTCAAATGAGAACAGAAGCTTTGCCACCACACTCGAGGCTCTACCAAATGTACGCTGTTCCATACAGCGTCTATCTTTCCAAAGAAACCAGTTCTAGTCTTAAACTCCGCCACATTCTTCATTACAACACCTGAGCTATCGGAATGTTTCGTTGCGTAGTCAGAAAGAAAGGACATCGCGTCGCCAATTTCTTTATCCGAGAGACTGCAACCAACGTACCGTGGGTCCAAAAGATTTGCAGCTAAATGTATCGGCTTCACGTATTTCTCTTTGCACTGTTCAAGCGATAATTTTATATAATGATACTCTGAATCCTTTTCTAAATTCACCATTAATTGAGCAAAGATCGCTGGTACGTCTGATATGATGGTCTTTTCTGAGCGCGCTTCTTCTAACGCTTCGTTGATTGCTTCCAATGTTTCTGTGGCTCTTAGATGGTAATTCCAAGATGGTTCGCTAATAGATAATGAGTAATAGTAATCTAAGTGCTTGAACCTAACCGCGAGTGTATTAATACTATCCTTGTTATCCAGAAACAATTTAAAAGAATTATAATAGTCATTCAAATTGGCTTCATCTGGTTTTTTAAGGGAATTTATTAGTTTTATATATGCGTCATCTTCGGGGCTATCTAGTACTGGTAGGATTGATTCCTTAAGGAATTTAATATGTATTTTGAGATCATGACTTGAAATTATTTGTGTGCTATCTTTTATGAGGTTTTCGAACCAAGAATATAAAATGTTATATAAACATTGTGTGAAAAAAATATTTGGCAAAACTTGTAAATTTTTCTCGTAATACGGTTTTTCATAAATGAAAGTAACGATTTTTTCACAGCCTATTTTGTTAATAATGCTTGTCGTCTCCTCCAAATTCTGTAATTCTTTTGCACCCTTGGCTGTTTTCATCAACTTTATTTCGTAACACACTGGCTTCGGTGTCATTACGACGTAACATAATAAATACTCTGAAACGTAAAATAAATCATATTAAAAAAACAATTATTTTAATAAAATCTTCAGGTTTGGGTGTAGGTATGTATTACGTATTGAGCAGTGTTGGCCTAGTGGCATCAGCGTGCGACTCTCAACCTTGAGATCCTAGGTTCGATTCCTGGGTGTGCACCAATGGACTTTCTGTCTATGTGCGCATTTAACATTCGCTCTAACGGTGAAGGAAAACATCGTGAGGAAACCGGCTTGCTTTAGACCCAAAAAGTCGACGGCGTGTGACAAGCCCCGGCGGTTGATCACCTACTAGCCCATAAGATTGACAAATGATCATGAAACAGATACAGAAATCTGAGGCCATATCATATCATATAGTACAGTTCAGTCTATATGTAATGTCGTGTCATGTAATTTGTAAAGCTTCGCCGGCAATAAAATGTTTTTAGGTAAATGAAATGTTTCCATTAATAAATGAGATACAAAAATCATGGAAACTATGTAATATTTAACGCAGGTGGCCTTGAAGAAAGCTCTTTTAAGTCAAGACTTTACATATAAATTTGTGTGCAACTAATTCAAAAATGTACTAGTATCCAGTCTTCACTCAAACACGTATTCAATTAGCCGATTAGGCTATTAAACCTATTTTACTGAAGACTTACCTTTAATATTAATTTCCTCAATAAAATACGAAATGGATAACGTACTAGCATTCGCAATCTCAATATCTATTTCGTTATTCAATTTTGAGCAATCATCATCAAAAAGCCTATTAATATCATTAACTGATGGTATGTGGTAATTAGGTCGCAGTAGATGAATAGCTTTCTTCCAGTACTTGCTTTCCAATATATCATGAGGAAGGTCGCTCGCGAAAATCGCTCTCGCCAGGACCCTGTCAATTTTATCATCATCAGTTTCAATCCTTTGAGGTTTTCTGAGACTTTTTTCATATGTTGTCTCTATATTCTGAAGAGGATCTATGCCACTATGAACGCACGATGTTTCCATCACTTCATCTTCGTGTTCACTATGAACTTCAATTTTAACGGTAGTGACCAGCTTATTTGGCTCCGGAGGCGGTGCATGGAGATCCTCGTCATCACTGCTTTCTGAACCCGATACATCGGCCAAGTAATTCTTCTTAACATCTGCTGGACATTCGTCACATTCCACCACGATATGTTTTAACAGCCTCGTGGCATTACAATGCTTATATTCCTTGCCACAATAAATACAGGAGCCGTGCTTTTTGTATCCTACTTCACTTATTATTGAAAAATATTGCCAGATGTCGCTCGCAGGCTTTCCAGCTGTCGCTGCTCTGGTCGGGCGACTCAAGTGGGGGTTGACTGCTGGGCGGTTACACAATTTTTTAGAGGTTTCTGATTTAGGCGGGTCAATATTCATATGATAACCGTACATGAACTTCTCTTTGACATTCTCAGGGCAGTTCACACACCGGCACAGGTGTACAACTAATCTAGTAGCATTAGAACACCTGTACTCTACTCCACAGTACTTGCACGAGGCATGCCTTTTGTAACCTGTCTGCTCTAATATATTATAATGTTCCCAAACCCTTGGCCGCGCGAACGTTTTCTTTATAACGATTCGAGGGTCATACGAGTTGTTAGGCAAATATCGCTCTAAATCGAGTTCTATAAACTTTTTTTTTATTTCCTCGGGGATTTTTTCGCATCTCTTTATGTGATCAAGTAAACGTAAAATGCTAATTTCCAATACTTCGAAGTTGCAATAAATGCAAATTGCGTGTTTTTTCATACCTGGCTTCTTAATACTTTTAAAGTGTTCCCATACCATATGACGAGTTTTTATATTCTGTCGCACTTCCTTGCGATGCACGAACTGCTTATAGTTCGGGTGAAATATCTTTGCCCTGACTGACTTCGGCAGTTGACCTTTGAGAGTCTCCCTAATATCTTCGGGACAGTTATCACATTGCACGAGATGTGTAGCGCACCTCGTAGGATTACTGTTTTTATATTCTCTATCACAATAACGGCATGCAGTATGTTTTTTCTTGCCTGTCAAATTCAACAGTTTATAATGTTTCCAAATGTCACTTTCGTACCGAGGCATTTCTACTTACGTATAGGAACTAAATTATTACTAACACAATATCGCACCGTTACATATACATTATTATCAGTTTTTACCGAAGTAAATGCATTAAAAATCGTGTTGTTTTCAACGAATATGACCGACGATTGTGACGCTTTCGATCGGTTTACTACGGGTAAGCGGTTACATACCGGGACGGAGTTGACTGTGTACAGCTATCTCTGTCACACTAACGCATTACGCGGTTGTCGGCGCCGCGCGACGGCCATGACGGGTCAGAGAAAGAGAAAAACGGCAACGTCGCATGCTGCAAAATATTAAAGCGCGTGCCTGTAATTAATTTATATTATAAACTGAAAGTACATTCTACGCATGTACTAATTATTGTACATTTAAAACATTCAGTACTGGTAAATCAATATTCACAAAGGCGTGTTACGACGTTATAAGTTGTGAAATGGAATTGCTTTCGGTGGGTTCAGGAGTTATAATAGTTATCATATCTATAGCAAACAGAAATCGGATATAATGAATGATATAAGTGTCATAATTAGGTATTTTTATACAGAAATTCAAATAACCAGTTATCAACATTTTAGTTAATAATAGTCTATTGAGACGATCTGGCTTCGCACCGGTACACGTTCTATGTATGAAAATATTTCTTATACATTTTGTGACGTTTTTAAAAGTCGCATCAATTGCCGTACAGCGGATACAAAATAATATTTTGTGACCTTGATGGCATTGTTGCTTTAATAGGTGTTTTGAATTCTTTAATTCTTTTCATCGTACAAGCTTCAAATAATCGTTCATATGTCAATTGTCAAAAATACAAAGCATTCCTTAGCTAACTTTGTACGTGATTTTTTTTTTAAATTTTCTAATACTTTTATATTTATTTGTCTCCCTCGAAAATCTAAAAGCTTAGTTCAAATAATGAATATAAAAACAATTATTAATGAAGATGGCATGTCCTTTATAAAGACGGTTTTTTTATCATTTATAAAAAATCTTAAAAGCCTTTACTTTTATAGCTCGACAAGTTTATTTGATTGTGTATCACTAAATATTCTTAATTAAGACGTGTATAGTAGAAAATTTTAGGGTCTATCTAAAATTTTCTATATATATTAACTATATATTTTCTAAATAACGTGTCCCATAAAACACATGCCATCCATACATGCACAGTTCTAATTCTAGTTTAAACAATATAAATTAACTTAATATATAGAAACACCCAAAATCTACTAAGGGGTTTGTGCCTGGTGTACATCATGTCTTAATAAAACTTTGTAAACAAATTCATAAGTACATCCATTCTTTTTTATATAAACCAACTATTCCAGACCCTCCAAAAAAACCAAAATAAACGTTAATATCTGATAAAGACGATTTATTTCAATCTTTATAACCACAGACATAATAAAAAAGAACAATAAACTAAGTATTTTCGACTATAGTAGCAATGTTTTGATTTAAAGGATATCGAATATTATTTATCTATATTTGTATAACATACAAAATAGTACTCTTTTAATATATGAACTTTAAAGCTGTTTCACAAAGATTTTAAATTTATACAGACCCAATATTATTGTACCATACCGGAATTAAAAATCCGTGTCATAAGTACAGTGGCAATCTGGCCATAAACAAACTTACAACTTGAATTTTTAGCGCAAACAATATTTTTAGTTAAAAAAGGTTTTAAATTCTTCTGTCAGGTACCGTTATTATTCCAATTTGTTTAATTCATTACGATTTTACGGTTATGTATCGTTAATATCTGGTTAACGATTATCTAACTAGCTTGCTAAGTTCTTTCAAGTTGAGTAATTTAGGTAAATAATAATATTTATTAAAAAAACAGTGGCGCTACAAACTAAAGATTAAAAAACTTACCTAAATCTTTTTAATGACCGCTTTTGTCAATAAAAACGCAAATGAGAAAATTTGATTTAAAGATACACAAGTAAAAGATACTTAATAAAAAGGCTTCCTCTTGAATGATTAATGATTAATGGCTACCTAATAAAAAGGATTTTATCTTTAAATTTATAAAACGTCAATCATTAAAAATTGAATCTCAGAAGCACTGAAGGCGTTTCGTTAATAAAATTAATCTTTATTACAACATCATTGAGCCTTATAGATTAAACTTGTCTTTCTTTATAAAAAAATATTTCTTACTAATTGTAACATATAACGGGCGCCATCTCTAATATGGAATTCTTTACTTATCTATGACAGCGACCGACTAAGCGGCAAGCGCATGCGCGATGCTGCTAGATTTTCGCGCCATTCTTTTCGTACTAAAATGTTGTTAATTGATATAATATCTAGTTGAAACCGTTCTTAACCTACATAATAATAATAATAATTAATAAAAGACTACTATTTTAAATTAATTTAAAATGTTTGGTTTGAAATAAGTATAAAGAATTCTAAAACTGACCAAGAAAATTATAAATAAGTACCTAGGTTAAATAGGTTTTATTTGAAATATAAAAAAAAAAAATATTATACCTTTATAACACGTAAAATATCCAATATTATCCATTTACATTATAAGTATAACGTCGTGCACCGAATTACAAATCTACGTGTCGTAAAAGTTAGAAATAGTCTTATTTTTATTTCGCGTGATTACCGCCAAAATAAACTCTGCTTTCTGAATGACAATTGACAGGCCATTGACAAGTATAATGATTTTCCACAGAATAAAAATTAAATGCAGACTGCGGTAGGGTAATTTATATAACTGTTTTAAATGTATAATTATTATCATCGTTGAAAGAAAAGTAATACAGCGGTTGTAATATGAAACAGCGGGCTGTTATAAAAGTAATTTACTTTTGTAAATATAGTTGACGTCCAGAATAATAACTGTATTCATTCATAACATAACATAACATAACAATAAGTTGTTTAGTAACTTTTATGCACTGAGAGGTTCTCAAATTGATTGTCGAGGAAATACAAATTAAGTTTTGCATTTAACCGTGACTGTGAAATAAACAGAAATTTGGTTGGACACACATAGTTTATATAATATTACAAGGCGGCCATATGAGGGTCTCTTTTCTTCATTACTTAATTAAAGGTCTAAAATAAAAAGGAAATATTATATATTGTACCTACGTACAATAAAATTACGATAATTGGAAAATAAATCATTCAGGATTTCTATTATTTTAGTAGTAATAATGTGTTCACTTTAGAGAAGCAGTTGCCAAACGATTTTTGTAGAAATGAACTTGAACACACAAAAATTTCATCAAAATCGGTTCACCCGTTTAGTAGGAGTATAATTACAAACACACACAGAAGAGTATAAAAGACCGCGAGTTCACAACTAATTAAATAGATAATAAACAAATTGCTTTTTAATCCGTACAATATAACGTACAAATTACAATCATAAAAGTTGTTCGTAATTTGTATAGGAAAATGTATGGGCATGAATCACCCAGCACGATGTTTGCATATACATATCTAGTTTAATTAAACACTGATCAATTTATCATTGTTATTGTATGATAAGTAATTTCTACGTCTAATTGATTTTTATTTAGTTACAAAAAATAGCGATCTAGATTCTACAACTTCTTAAAATGATAAAGTATTGAAGAACTACGAGCATGATGGCCTAGAAGCTTCAGCGTGCGACTCTCATCCTCGAGGTTGTAAGTTCGATCCCCGGCTGTGCACCAATGGAATTTCTGTGTGCATTTAACAGAAAACATTGTGAGGCTTTCCTTAGACCCAAACAGTCGACGGCGTGTGTCAGGCACAGGAGACGGATCACCTACTTGCCTATTAGATTGACAAGAACATGAAACAGATACATAAATCTGAGGCCCAGACCTAAAAAAGGTTGTAGCGTCACTGGTTTTGGTTATATTCAAGAACTACTACCAATTTTTTTATCGAAGTATGTATATTGTATATACGTGCGGCTTCACTCGCGTTATTTCGGTTTTAGCGTAATTAATACATTAGAAAAAAGTACTTGCCTATTAAATAAAATATCAATGAATAAAGAAATCTTACGTCACAAAACAATATTACAGACCATAGAGCATAGACTCATGTGACATCCAATAACACTTTCACATAAAGAATAAGCAATATTGATCATAATATGTATTTTATAGTCCGAATGGGCTGTTAGCTTTTACCTTTTGCGAAATTCGGCATTGTTATAATTTAATATGGCAATAAAAACGAACACTGGAATTCCAGACTAACTTTCTATACATTTATAGCTATCGAGCTGTGAATACGAAATTGCATTAAATTAAATTATGTAAGGTGTTCTTATGTTATTATATTATACTATTTAATATTATATCTACTATGGCTATGAACAGTGTTGACCTGGTGGCTTCAGGATCTGAGGTCCACGTGACGCACGCACGTGATATGTGCGTGTCGCAGTCAACTACCTTAATTAGCCGTTCAATTAACAGCCTAGTCTCTTTACTAAACACCGTTCTACTAGCGGCCTGAACGATATTCAGCCATTTGATAAAACAGCTAGGCAAGTGACTTGAATCGATGACGTTACATTACTTGCCTACCCTGTTCATTTCAATTTAGTTTCACTTTCTGACACTCCAAACTGTTAATAAAGCGTCGGTAAACAACAAGTTTGATGATGTTTTCTAAAGTTTAATGAAAAATAGAATGGAAGAGTATAGTTACACTAAGAGTAAGCGTAAGAACACTAATAAGTTACATTTTAAATTTTTTAAATAAAGAATTTCTTATTCAGCTTTTTTATTTCTGTTACATGATCGTACGAATGGCCTAAGCATAAGCCAGCCAATTTATTAAATGTTGTAACAAATGGCTGAATATATTTCAGGCCGCTAGTTAAACGGCGATGTTTATTGAAAAACATCGTAAGGAAACCAGCATGCCTCGGGCCCAAAAAGCCGACGTATGATCGACACAGGCCCAATCACCTAATTTCCTATTAGAAAAAGCAAATGATCACGAAACAGATA